CTCTCTCTCTCTCTATCTCTCTCTCTCTTCTCTCTCTCTCTCGCTCTCTCTATCTCTCTCTCTCTTCTCTCTCTCTCTCTCTCTCTCTCTCTCTCTCTCTCTCTCTCTCTCTCTCTCTCTCTCTCTGTTGTGTTCTTTGTCTCGTGTTCCCCTCCCTGACAATCCGGAAAGTAGAAAACTTCTCGAACTGATGGGCAAACACTAGCATACAGGTCTAGTTTTTAGGAATGCCTTGAATGAATACTTAAACACGCGACGTCTTGAGAATGCCCTCGCATTTATTTTGAGGCGTGACTTCAAACTCGCTTTGCCGAACAAACCTGGCAGGTGTTGCCTGTTGCCTCACAACAACTATAAATACCTCACAGTAACACCACCTCGGATCTATACCTTTATAAACGATGCAGTTAATCAAAACCGTTTAGTTATCAACACTAGATAATAGTCGAGGGAAACACAAGAAGGTCCGACCACCATTACCGTTGCCTGATAGGTGAGTGTGTGGGCTAAGCTGTCTCAACATCGGTTTGCACTCACATATGATGGAGTCATGAAAGGAGCCACAGTCAATGTAGTGTGCACCTGTCGTTTCCACTTTCTAAACGGAGTGCATCGCACGTTGATACACATGTTACAGAAAAACCCGCTGACCCCTAAGGCCCAGTTTGAATCTGTTTTAACCAACTCTATACCTTCCTATACCTCCTTTTCCGGGTGTCGCAAACAGAAGTGTGTATCGTGTGTCACGCGCAGGCTGAAGCTCCCGTTCACCAGAACTCAATTTCGACATTGCCTCCCTTTGAGCCGATTTCGCTGTGCATCTCGCGCTCTTGGGTCGCAACAGTAAGCGCACATCATTGCTCCATTTGTGCCCCAGCGCTGCCGCTCCGCGAAGAGAAGTGCCCTGCGCCTGCACTCCACCTAGTGTCGCCTGGCGCCGGGAGTGGCGCTGCCGTCGCTCCGGCCCCCTCGACCACCACTTGCAGGGCGGTGAGCGTGCCGGGAGGGGTGCGGCGCGCGCCTGAGGCGGCTCGTGACTGGCCGGAACGGTGGCGGCGACACGGAGGCATCGGCGACGCGGATTAGCTGACGGGAACAGTGGATCAGGTGGGTCCGCCCCTCGCGTCCGGTCGACGGAAGCAGGGGATCAGGTGGGTCCGCTCCTGTCGCCCCTGTCGCCGAGGGCCGGCCACGGGCGGACAGAACGCCTCCGGCCGCACAAATACCAGTCGGCGAACGGTATGGCCGGGAGGATGTGAGCGGCTGTCAGTTGCCACGGCGTTACATTGAAACACCTCAGATTGCCGTAAGCACTTAGCGGCTCCCTGTGGGAACCACACATTTTGTCACGAGTGATGGGGATCTCAATGATAATGTAGGGCATTAAAATCCTTTTCGCCCAATACATTTATTTCCGCCAATTTTCGGTACGAACATTGGTAGCAAATGCTGTAGAGAATGCGGTGCCGCACTTTGTTCTACGCTAGGCGCGGCTGCTACGCACGTGTGCGTGATCGGTGTCATTCACTTTACGGTGGCATGAACCGGTGCGTAGCGTACCGACCCGTCCCCGCATTCGCACCCGCACACATTCAGATCTGCCATCAGTCCAAGCAGTTGGTGCTTTAAGCATTCTCCCAAAATTTTAAATGCTTCTTGAAAGTAAATTATATCAAACCGGGGATAATTTTATTACGAGCGGTGTAAAGCTTAAATGCTTCATTAAAAAAAAAACATTCCTAGATTTTTGGCTGCCTATTTCGATACTCACCGCTGCTTTCGAGACTACGACTTCATGCCACAGGCGCTTTGCACGAAAGGCTACAGATCTGTTGGCTGCAGACCCAAACCGTTCAGCTCATTAAAAAGTGCCAGTAACTAGTCTTCTATTTATTGTAGATGTCCGCATTATCTCTGGGAGCTGACTGTCAACAAGTTCTTAACTGCGTTGAATCAAGTAAATTTGTTATGGATTTAAGACGCAGTCCTTCAATTCCTAATTTGTTTCCGGGCTGGATGGAGCTATTTAAAAAGTGTAATGTCAAATGACGCACCATAAGTTGGACCACCGACAACGAGCGACGGGCCGGATGTGCGCAAACTGGATATGTGACCGGCGGGATGTGGCCAGCTGTCGACATGTAGCCGGCGGCATGTGACCAGCTGTCGACATGTAGCCGGCGGGATGTGACCGGCGAGGTATGGCAGGTTGTCGACATGTAGCCGGCGGGATGTAGCTAGCTGTCGACATGTAACCGGCGGGATGTGGCTAGCCGTCAACATGTAACCGCCGGGGTGTGACCAGGGGCATGCGGCTGGCGGGATGTAACCGGCGGGACGTGACAGGCGGGATGTGGTCGGCTGTCGACACGTGACCGGTCGGATGTGACCGGCCGGATGTGACCAGCTGCTGACTTGTGACTGTCGGGATGTGGCCGGCTGCCAACATGTGACCGGCGGGATGTGACCGGCGGGATGTAAATAGCGAAATGTGACAGGTGGTATGTGACCGGTGGGATGTGGCGGGCGGAATGTGACAGGCGGGATATGACCGGTGGGATGTGACCGGTTGGATGTGGAGGGTGGGTTGTAACCGGTGGGATGTGACAGGTGGGATGTGACCGGCGTAAAGTGACAGGCGGGATGTGACCGGTGGGATGTGACAGGCGGGATGTGACCGGTGGGATGCGGCAGGTGGGATGTGACCGGTGGGATGTGGCAGGCGGGATGTGACAGGCGGGATGTGACAGGCGGGATGTGGCAGGCTGTCCACACGTAACCAGCGGGATGCGCTCAGGCTGGAGGGCCGCCCAAGCTCGCCGCCTGAGCTGACGGCGGCGGCTGACGAGTGGGGCCTGCGGGGGCCATCGCCGTCGGGTCACTCACGGCAAATGTGCTCCTCAGCCGAGCGTGCATCATTTATGGGGCACCTTCTGTCATGGAGACGACGCGGTTCCGTCAAATGTTTCCGGGGGTGGCTGGCCGTCCAGTTTCGATGGTAAGATGGCCACAGTGTACGGTGGATCGGGGATTTTGGTGCTGTGGGGTTAAAGTAGCAGGGCGTGGCGTGCTCTCCTTCTCAAGCATGTAGTCACACATGGGCGACTTAGATCATTGTGATTATTTGGCGGACCCTGGTGGGAGTGCATCGACAACAGCGGTTGGGGTATTTCAGCGGTTGCAGCGAAAGAGCTTTGCACATACCATTGCACGTTTTTTACTCCCTTGACCCAGAGTTGCCTTTTATGTAAACATGAAGCTCTATCATTGCTGGAAACGGCCCGCATGGTCATAAAATGTGGCCGATTTCCTGCTCGGTTTACGCTCAGCTTGGCACCAGGTTGGCACAATGTTGGCCGACGCTTGAGGCCACGACGCCGCGCGCCACAAGCGGGGTCTCCGGAGGCGAACGCTCATGTCACGCCAGACCTCAGCAACAGGGCTACAAATCGATCTCTGCCCACCGTCGGCCAGACCTCTGCAACAGGGATCCCAATCGATCTCTACCCACCGTCTGCCATAAGCAATGACGGCGAGTCGTTCCGGATGAGAACCTTTGGCTTGGAAGATACCGTGACAAATTTAAAGGTTTCATAAAAATATATGAGGTAGTTTGCAAAAGCCTGAAGAGAAAAGAAAAGCTTCGTTTCATGAGCCTCAATCCTATATCAGAGGGAATGTTTTACATTTGAAGATATTAAACCAAGCATCGGGTGTGATAAAACAGGCTCACCTATAGCTGTTGCCATGCTTTTTAAGTGGAAAAGACTGTTCTAGACAGCATAATTCTCGGTTAAGTAAGTCTGCTGTTCAATGCGTCATGGTTTGATTACGTCATCGAATCCTGCGCAACCTTGATTGATAGCCAGTTGATGGCCGTTTTACCTAAAAATCTTGCTCACAAACGCCAGATATGAACTCATTGACAATTGCATTTTTTGTGTTTCATCGCCGCATGGCTTATATAATTGTACGATTTGGATGACATTATTATGACGTCATGAATGCCAAGGTGACTTTGAAGTGCTTTTCACGATAAACCTATTCCCCATTTTCGCGGGCGTATAGCTCAGAAACTAGAGCAGGTTAAGTCTTAAGAAGAGCACGATTGTGAACAGCACCAAAAGGTCTTAAAGATAGCAATTTCAATTTAAAACCCCATATAAATATGAAAAATTCCCTTCAATGCCAAGAACTGCTTAAGTTTTACTCATCAAATGCGTAATGCAGGTTTCAGGGGAGTTTACAACGCGGGTGGAACAGCTTTTACTTTGCTAGTCACAGGCCCCCCGAAAAAGGTCTCATGCCATTTTGCATCACATGCATTGGTTCGGCACATCAGCGTCACGGACTATGTCATGTGGCGGCTTGAGTGGACCGGGCGCTAGTGAATAGGTGCCGCGTGAATTATTGCACAAAAACGCCGGCGTTGAGCGAAAAATAGCCTGCGCTCCTGACGGAATCAATACAATGGCCTTTTAGCCCACCCTCCGCATCACCGACCCATTTACAGTGATCCGGACTGAAAAGGAGATGTTGAACGGTTTATGTTTCACAAAAGCTATGGTTTTGGGTCATCCAATAGATAGAGCAGAGCGTGATCTCAGGGCGTTGGACGGAGATGCGCTGGCTGGCTGGGAGAGTTGGCGCTGAAAACAGGCTGACTCCGTTGTCGGGCTGCTCGCAGTCCGATGAGTGCAAGGCTGCGTCTGTGTAGCAAACCTATATTTTCATTGTATTTAGATGCGTCTCTGTCATTTCAAGTTAACCAAAAATTTGGGTTGAAGTTATAAAAAATACACACAGCTCTTGGCCTCTGAGATTAATTCATTGCAATCAAACGAAGGATGGAAACAATAATCTACTTTCACTGCACGAACAAAACTGATGGAAGACGCCTGAACGGCTACACATAATACATGACATGAAAGACAACTCAGCCTTTAAACGACCTGGAATCCCTCTCAAATTCCAAGTGTCTTAAAGTGCAACGTGTCTGACACCATATATACTGATCGGTGCCTCCCGTCGTGCTGGAAACCGATTATGTCGCGTAATCATCGATCAAGTCACCTTTGTTCACACCATATCCCAGTTCGCTATGCGGAATTCAGGAAGTTTTGGAACATGGCACTGATAAATATGATACTCAATGTTCCCGCCTGCCTCATCAGGCGCCTTGCTAGTGGTCTCAAGAGGTTTACAAAGATGCGGAAGAAGGTATGAGTGTGGGCTTAGAAGCGTTAGTACATTCTGGGTATTATGTTGCCGGCAGTGTAATATTTATTAGTCTAGACAAGAGGGCTTCGCGAGTACAAATTCCTTTACCCGAACCATCCACTACCCATGGAGCCGTGGAGCTGTGTCCACACTCACCCACTACACGTACCTGATCATTCGTACCTACCCGTTACCATTTCATTTTCCATTGCCGGACAATTTAGCTCCAAATTGTGAAGGAATTTGGGAACGCTTGCCTCCTTACTTATTCCTTTACCTTGATAATAACAAAAGCGGTGTGAATGCAGTTAAGGATGATTATAAAAGTGCAAGTATTAACATTGTGCAATACTTTTTGAAGCAACTACCCGAAATTTCGGAAACGTCTTACCCGTCCCCGCACCCATGACCATGGTTTTCACAAAACCTGTCTCCGACCCAACCCGCCTCTCATTCTATATGGTTGCCAGTGGCATTAACCGGTCCGTTCAGTCCCCTAATGGAGACTACACAAAGTACTGACATATTGCTGATAAAGAGGGTCGTGAAAGAGAACTTTGAGATGTTGAGAATTGAGACTAAGAGCGTACGAAATGCGTCGCATGGTGTGATTTCGTGATGCGCAATCGGATGAAGTTCATTTTTGCATTTGGTCTCATACTTGGCACTCATAGACGGTGTTTGGTTGCCCCGGCCCGGGAACCACTAAGTGGCAGGTGAAGAGTGCTAGGAAGGTTGATCTTCCCCACAAGGTGAGTAACCTCACGTACCCCCTTAAGTTGCAGTTCCGTTCTTCTGAAACGTATATAAACGTGTACAAGGGCCATCGTGGTAAGCTCGTTGATATCGCAGCCCATCATCGTGGAAATAAAATCGAGATATTGAGG